GTTGACGAGCTCATAATCGTCGATCTCCCCTGACGCGCGTACATACGTTGTAACCATGATACCTCGGATAATCGAGAGACGTTCCAGTGACGATGGCAGAAAACAAAGTGACAGAAGCCGAACAAGGAAAGAGAGAAGCGCGGACGTGAAAGATAACGGCTCACCGCCGATCGATCGATTCGTCGAGGCTTTTGTTCGTCTACGAGGCCTGCTATTCGATTTAACTACGAATACTTGATGGAAAGAGGCGTATCGAGGCGTTCCGGTAAGAAGCGGCTTTTATCTCCCGGTTAAGCTAAAGTGCATGAAAGCGTCGCGCGAGAATTGGGGGAGGAAGATCTTAGGCGTGCAGACACACATACGCTCAAAGTACTACATACAAAAATCAGCGTAAGTATATTTATTACAAAAAATATTTTTGTAGAAAGAAATTGCGCCAAATTCTTCAAATTCAATAATTATAAAAAATGTAGATATTCATTGTTTTTATTTTTCACAAAAAGTATGAAGTATATGAACGTGGTTATAAAATTTCAAACTTTTGAGAAGAAAAATGCTGTAAGACATTTTGTAATATGATTTGTTAGAAAAAGAACCGTCAAAATGTTAAAATGAATAGAAGCGTAATAAGTGAAAAAATCTGACATACATAAGACGATATACTATAAATTAAATTTACTGAAAATTGACTAAATATCGTCGCGTTTTGCAAGTATTCAGTGTCTAAAAGAATGAAAATTAATTTCGTCACGATGATATTTCCCTCGCTTCGACAGCGACGAGGAAGGGCGAGAAGTATAGAAAAATACCGCAGGGTATGTAATGCGCGATTAAACGCTCATACAAATACGCATTTATACGTATGGGGATACGCAGTAGCGAGTCTCGGCGTATTCGTAGACATGACTGCGATAGCTATTGAACTATTACACGCTTAACTGGAATGAACTGACTGCAGTGGCGTGCCTTGCTGCTCTCGATGCGTGCGGTGTCACGACCTCAAGCGAGTAATCCCCATACGAATCCGAGAACACAGAGCGGTACAACTCTGTTTAACCCGTCAACGTTCATGCTACGAAAGCGTAGCTCGGCTCAGATTAGAGTTATTTCTCTACCGCGTGATAATATCGCACGAATTAACACGTCCGATTCACCAAAATATATATACTCTCTAGAATATATACTCTCTAGAATAATCCATAAAATACAAGACTTCATAGTACGAAGAAATTAAAAGATTTTGTTCTACTATTATTTTTCAAATCCTTTTTACCTTGATAGAATTTTAATTAAAACATTATTGAATGTTTCAAAGAAGATTTATATTTTTGTCGTATAATTTAGCAATATTTACTATTTATATCGAAGCAATAACGACTAAATGGAAGTTGATAAAGATTGTTAATACGTTATACATGTAAGATACACCTGTAGCGCTGTGTGCAATATTTCATAAATATTTTCGGATAAATGCAGCAACAATTAAGAGATTTCTGTAAACTGAACATGGAGTTAATTAATAGGTAGGTTAAGACCGATTAAGATAATTTTCGTAACGATGTTCAAGCAGAGGAAATAAATTTGCCAAACGTATAGCCACTTGGAAGCATAACGCTTGGCCAGCGTAACGAGCGCGGTGTTTATCATTAATTAAGTGTTTCTTACGTTGACTGTAAAGGCAAAAGATGAGAGGAAGAGTTCTCTCAGAAAAAGAGTCTTTCGCGGCACGCAGAAACCTATAACGAAGTTACGCCACTGTCGATGTTCGAAACGTTTGGGGGGTGCGAGTGTCGCGCGGGGGTTGGTTATTTCACGGTCCACTCGCTCTACTCACACCCCTCAGAGGCGGCGGCGGCGGCGGTGGCGGCGTCGGAGGCATCGGCGGCAGCCCCTTTCCCAAATCCACCCCTAAGAATTAATTCGAGAGAATCGTCCGGCGACCGACCGACAGCCACTCCTACCTTTTCGAGCGCCCTCGGATCATCTTCTCTCCCTCCTCTCAGATCTGTCTTCTCTCCCGTTGGTCTTCTTTCGTATTCCCGTTCGCGTCGATTTAACTTCCTTCTGACTTCTGCTTCGATAACACCGTCGTTTCGACAAAAGATCCGACAAAAGAGTCAAGATAAGAACGAAGGAATGAGTAGGTTTCAAGCAAGTTCGTCCAAATTGCCTTTTTGTTGTTCTGGATATAAAATTTATCGGTTTTGTCATAAAATACTGTTAACATATTGTATTGAAATTTTTTATCAAACCAGAATAAATGCGAGAAATTATTTTGCCTACTGACTATTGTTTAATTACCGGATAGTAAGTGCCGGATATTTTCCTTTAATTTATAATAATCTGTCAACATTGGAAAAATGTACATTTAAAAATTTCTCGTAGTTCATAAGTTAATACTCTTACCTTTAATTTTACTTATAAAATATTCTTCTAACAAGGCTGCTCAGTTTCATTTTTAGTTGATTCGGTAGCAAAGGATTCTCGCAGTAATTAGTTTAAGCATTTAAACAACATTTAACAAGTGTAAAAGTCACTTTGTCCTCTGTTAATGTAAAGAGATGCTTTTATCTTCAATTCATAATTAAGACGCGCATAAGCACATGGTCAGCCCGCTGACGACGCGTGTCGTGCAGGCCGGCCGAGTAGTTTCTAATTTGAGCATCAAAGCAAGGCGCGAGCAATTTTCCGTCAATTGAACGTGGCTGCCTCTGGAAGCTGCGAACAAGGCGGCGTTATACGGTTGGAATTACGCGTGGAAGACCGCGGTGCGCGTTTTACGAAGACTTGTATCTCTCAAAGAACGAGTAACGTACAACTAGCATCCGGCCGTCTAATGGTTCACTTCACTTAACGCGTCTTTTCATTTTCTTCCTCGCCATAAGATTTCCCCTTTATCTTCCGCAAAAAAAAAAAAGAGAAAACACTTTTCTCTCATGCCCGAAATTAAACGGGCCACGCTATCGAGAACGACGGACGAGCGATCGCCGCTCGTTAAGAACTGATAAAGAAAAGAAACGTAATCGGTGAGCTGCAAGGGAGAAAGTAGGAAAGCAATTACGATCCAAAGAATTAGAGAGATACGGAACAATTGGCTTTCGGCACCGTCTTAATTGAACTTATGGTTTTTTTTTTTCCATAGAAACGTTGTGTTAAGAAGCTGTAAAAACAGAAAGTGTCGCGAAATTAAAAATCGTTGGATGACGATCAATCGATTTTGATTTCAATGTGCCGATGAATGTATTGTGAGAAATTAAAATTAAGTCGAGAGTTTAATTGTTGAATTTGTTTAAATGACAAGAAATGAATCTATACCTGCATCTACTCGCAAAAAAGAATTATCTATAATGAATTTTAATATAAAATATGTTTTTTCAAATTGAAATCGCACCGATATCGCTGATATCTGTATGATAATCGTTGTAACGCAGCATTAGACAGGGGATGAGAAAAAATTTCTAACTTCACACCCGGCAGCGGAATTATTCCCTGACAAAGGCGAAACGTGAACAATACGAGTTATAACACGTCGATTAGAGTGTGATAAGCAAAATCAATCTTTATCCTTGTACACGTATGAGGGATTATTTGTATATGTACACACACTGGATGAAGGTTTTTACGAGCGTAACGTATGATTTTTATTTTACACAGGAACGATCACTACGTTCCGGATGTGCCTGATTTTTGCGATCAGCACGAAACATGACTCACTAATTTTTCTCGACAGTCGCAATCGTCGCACTCTTTCACTCATTCTCGCATATTCATTTACATGCACGCACCTTACTGCTATATATATAAGAGCGTTTCTGATAAAATCTACTTCCCTTTAAGACAAGTTTCTCCCGTCGCTTAACCGCGGCGACAAATGGAGTATATTACAAAGGTGAGAAAACGACAAGGGCGCCGGTGTTCGTGTTACTCTACTTGTTAGGAGAAAAGTACCGAGGTTTCTTTTTTTATTGGATAAAAAATGACTTGCGCCAGTTCCGGACAATAATTTACGCCTCTGTTTAATTTTTACGAAGCAAAACTCGCAAGCGAGAAGCAAGTGCAAATTGGAGAAGCGAAAGCAATCAAAACTTTTTAATGAAGTTCTGCCTTCTACCATTCCACCTTTTGTCAAATGTCAGGTTGCCTATCGAGAGACCAGTGCGTACGCTTTAAAAAGACGTCGTTCTCTTCACCATTAGTCCAAAGCTCGACGTTTGGAGGAAAATACGTATGGAATTTAAATGTTTGGCCGGTGTCGCGCCGGAATGATACGCTCGTTTTTTGAACGTCACCCTACGTAAACCGATTATGCTATCGAGTCGTTCCACGTGCGCAACGGGAAGGCAAAATATAACATTGGGGCCGCTTACGCGTCCCGATCCAACAAACGAAAACATTACACCCATGTCCAATTCAATACTTAATTAGGTTCCAACATTTTTCTCTTTAAACTTATATATAGCGAATAAAAATTACACTATCTTGACGCCAAAATAGTATTCCATACTTGTACTTTGAAAACAACATAAGTCCAGGAATTAAAACTGTTGAAATACGAATAACAAACACGTTATCCCTTAATTATAAATGTTACTTTCAAGTGGAATGAGATTTAAAGAAATTATTTTTTGTCTTCATACTAATATATATATCTTTTTTTAGCCGTATCTGCAAGAGAGAGAGAGAATTATAAACTTATGCTATTTTCAAAATAGTAAATTTCATTTGTTATGTATAGCGACAAAAATAGTATATACTATTTGATAAAAAAAAAAAAACAATCACGATAACCAGAAGGAATGATCACCAGGAAAAATAACAAATTGTCGGCAACACGTTCAGAGATGATACTAATAAGAGTCTAAAAATTGTTTTCTATATATATATATAAACGCGCGCAATCTGCGCTCCTGGTACTTTTCTTGCCACGGCCAAAAGTACTCACACAAACCCACCGTTTCCTTGTCGAGGACTACGAAGGCGAGGATGTTGATGCAGGGTATCATCGCCGAATTCGCTACGCGTGCGGATGCGTGTGCGGATGCGGATGAGCCGAAAGAGCCAGGCCGGTGGAGGAAGGCGTAGAGGTCGGCGGCGGTCCTGACGCAGTCGCAGCAGGAGTCGCCGACAGATGATGGCCGAAGAAGGTCGGTCCGGTCGGCGGGTAAGGTGGGGCCGCTGGGTGGTAGTATCCGGGCGGCGGCGGTGGCACTGGCGGCGGGTGGTGTACATGAGCATGCGGATGTGGATGCGTATGCGAGTGTGGCAATGGGTGCTGATGAGGATGCGCGGCGAACAGGAAGGCGGGTGCGTACGGCGACGGATGCGGTGGCGTCGTCGGCACGGTAGGGCTGTTTACGTCCAGGCCAGGGTTTTGCTTCTTCCATTTGGTTCGCCGGTTCTGGAACCAGATCTTCACCTGGGTCTCAGTCAGCTGCAGCTCAAGCGCCAGATTCAGACGTTCGCACACGGACAGGTATCTGGTCGTCTTGAATTTGTTCTCTAACCTGACCAGCTGTTCATATGTGAAGGCTGTCCGCGCTCTTCTGGGTTTACCACTGGTATTACTATTACTTCCGCCACCTCCGCCGCCGCCACCACCGCCGCCAGTACCGTTTTGTCCGTTTTGACCCTGACAATTTTGTACCTGAACGCTGCTCGATGATGTAGACGACGACGACGAGGATTGTCGTTTCTTGCAGTTCGACGTGGTCGTGTTGGTGCCGCCGCTGGTTGTATTTTCTCGTCCGACGCTGCCAGAATCTTGATCCACGACTCGCATTTCAATGTCCTCGTCCTCTTCTTCTTCCTCGGCGTCTTCTTCCATTTCCTCCATGATGGTATCCGGTGTACCTTCCTCATCTTCTTGGCCGCTGCCGCAGGCGAATTCGCCTCGCGAGTCGCCGTCTGAAAGTAATAACCACGGGATCATTTTTGCGGTACGTGGATGAGAGATAACTACGAAGGGAGAAGCGATGATACGGGGTCGGTGTCAGATGACGAGGATTGATTATATACGAGGGACAAAATTGCGGCGACAAAAAGACGTCGCGTTTCTCATTGTATCAGGTGATTCTTACAGATTTATCAGAAATTCATTTCATTTATACGTACACAGATATTAATTTTTTTCTTTCAAGAAATTTAATTTATAAATAAAGATCAATATTTCAAACTCACGAAAAATATAATTGTGAAGAATATAACAAAACAGTAGCATGTTTTCAAATCGGAGACTTCTATTAATAGATATATATTGTATATGTAATATGCAGATTGTTATAATTTGTATTGTGTATAGCAAATGTTAGCTATTAATGACCGATTAATGACTCGTATGCACCCGTGTCGTTTACTGAACAACGTTTAACCGAATTCCTATTTACGATTGATTGTGAAACGTTTCGGCACGAGGAAGTATTGCTTCTTGCATCTCACGAAAGAACTGCGTTGCATAGCCGAGACACCGATTGAGCCTGCGAGAACGGAACGATTTGAGCGCGAATCAGAGAGGAACAGAGAAAAGCGGGAAACGGAGAAAGAGAGAAACGGCCAATCGTTCGCTCAATGAGAGAGGAGATTGGAGATTCAATCAGCACGCAGATGTCCCGGGGACAGATATTCCCTGGCTCTGGTCCGTGGGGGTTGGGGTGCCCCTGGGATGCTACGAGTGGGGATAGCCCGCCGAACAAAACCAGAGAGACAGAGAGGAAGAGATAAAAAGAGAGTGACATAGAGAGACGATAGGCGGAAAGTGACGAGGATGGTACATTGGCAGTACGTTGAAGGCAGTAAGAGAGAGACAGAGGAAGACGGAGAGTAAGCAAGACAGATCGAGAGAGAAAGCGAGAGGAAGACAGTGGGACTTTATCCGAATTGGCGTGGCTCGTGGCCCATAGCCTACAGCCTAGCGCACAGTGCCTGGGGGTTGGAAGTCCGTAGGGGGCGACGGATCGAGAAGGTTTACGCCGTAATGGGATTTGTATCTCGTTAACGCGCGATCGTTCTTGCCCCGTCGTACAGGCCGCCAAGCGGCTACCTTTTCCCATCTCCCTATCTCTCTCCTCGATTCTCTTTGGCCTTCTTCCCTAGACTATACCGTTCTCGTATAACTCGACGGTCTCCACATCGAGATATACCTGACCGGCGCCGATTGATTGCGTCTAATTGAATTGCGTAATTTATATTGTTTCTCCTTCTTCTCACTTCGACACTCATCCGCCCGCTTCATCAAGGATTGCGTTCTGTTTTGTCAGCCGGAGCATTTCGCGGTCTTTGATTATGTAAGATAGTGTCCTTCTTTTCAAAATCTCTCTCGTTCATTTTTAATTAGTCAGTGTACTCTATCTAGTACGATAGAATTTTAATTAAGAAGTTGAGGATAATATGAATGTGTAATGTAACTTAAAATTGTTAAGTTTTTAAATTGAAAAATATGAGCAGATTATCGAAATACACATTCAAAATGGAAATTGATTAATTAATCGACCGTCACGTGGCTTTGAATTGCTTTAAATATAATTTGTATTTAATTATTTTCACAGAAGTTAGATTTAATAAAAATACTAATACTTTTATCGCAAAATGTTGTCTTAAATTAAAGACAGCATTTCGCTCTGTTCTAAAAAACGAAACGTATATTTGTTAGCGTAAATCTGGGAGAATAATGAAACTGTGTTTTCTCAAGAGAAACATCATCTATGTCAATTCGTCGCCTAGTATGACAGCTGCGACGACGTGAAATTAATTGAGTTCATCAGAAAATTAACGACTGCAGATAGCATTTCTGTCATTGCGTTTTTATGGCGGTAGAATCGCCGGCTAGAGGACCATTCATATCATTTAGATCTTCTTCATTAACCACGATCAGGCGGGTTATGTGCGAGCGAAGCGATCGGGGATGTATGCCAAGTCCCAAAGGGATACGTTAAGGGTACACAAGGGGGAGTCGATCGCAGCGTGCTGCGACAAAGCAGCAGACACGGGAATACTTATCTCATTTCGGTTTTCCTCATTAAACACAATGACAGTGTTTAACGACAAGTGGCACGATCGGGAAATACGCAATAAACAACATCCCTAACAGATCCTGTCTTATTATAGCAATGAATCCGCAATATATATGTTAGCAGATTTCTAATAACGTTAACACTTGAACACCTTAACGTAATTGTGCTATGATATTGTGTATAATATATGAATATGTATAAACAGTATATGATGTTTATCGGATCTATAATAGAATCGATAAAAATTATATTGAAAAGCAGAGAAGTTTAATAAACGTTGCGTATATAATATAAACACAGAGATTCTTTCATTCGTGATAATGAATGTAGCGGCTGGGAGAAGCGATATATGGATCAGCGATATCTCTTAGGATTTTCCGAAGCGTACGTAAGATAATTATAAATTTCGTTGAAATCTAGCGGAAGATTCCGGATCTCGAATCATGAACGCGCAGTGCTCTGAGGGGTGACTTTCGTGGATGCTGCGACAACTAGCAGGAGCAAAGAGAGGGAGAACACAAGTGAGAAAGAGAGAGATAGAGAGAGATAGAGAGAAGTCATTGTGATGCAGAAGAGCCAATTTTCTGGGCGGCTTGGCGCGATGCGGTGCGATACGGCGCGATGCTGCGCGATTATCATAACAACCGGCGATATTATTCCATTCGGCGGATCCGTGTGGCGGGGGTGGAACGGAGATCTCGGCGGCGGCAGTCGAAACGGATTGGCTTGGGTCTGATGCACTTTTAATAGGAAGCGGCGACCATCCCGGTAAGATGGATGAGCCGACAATCGTGTAATCTCGATTTCGACGGCTGCGATCGATCCATCGCGCACGGTTTCCCGCATGTCCTTTTCTCACCCTCTTTCTTTTTTCTTCCTTTTTGTCTAGCCTCCTGTGCTCCTTCTTTGGTTGACGATAAAAATACTCTTAGCTCCCGTACCGACGGGAGATGCCACGACGGGCTGGACCGTCCATCGAGATGCTGATTTCGCCAGCACCCGGTGTCCCGTACCGGGATAAAGGAACGACGATGACGGGGTTCAAGGACTGGTTAACGCAGATTAGCGGAGCAATTTGTCACGCTCCGACAGGCCGCCTCCGCCGCCGCCGCCGCCGCCACCGCCGCCCGGTCGCTACCCCTGCCCACCTCCGTCGTCGCTGCTTCTGCCTCGCTTCACCCCTTCTTCGGGACACTTCTTCCGTCCCTTATCGGCCTGCAGGACCACTTCTCTCGTCTGCCCGCCAGACTCCATTAAATTCGAAAGTCAACTGTGAAATTGGGATTCTCCGCGGCAAACGGTCACCGAACTCGGCCCAATCCACCAACCATTTTTCTTCACGGTTGCAAAGTTAGGGTAAATAGAGACAACAAATTGGTGAGATCGACTTAATTGTTTACATATATCGGTAACACGATAATCTTTCAAATTCTTAAGACAAAACGGTTGATATATTTTTTTAGCATAGAATTATAATAAAATATATATCTGAACGTAAATTAAGATTCTTCATCAATTATAAATACTGCAATTAATACGCTTTTTTCAAAAATATGAATTCTTTGCAAAATACTGTAGTTTCAATATTAATTATTTCATATTCTACAAAATACCTTGGATTACATATACCTTGTAATAACATTTACTTTTGTAGAACTATTTATCATTATATATTACTTTAGCACACAAAGTGAACGATTTTGCTATACTATCTATAAACTTAGCCAGATACAGATTTGATAATAATTTTGTTGGGCCATCAAAATAATCATTAATAATTATGTTGGAATTTCAAACATAGTGAGCAATGATGAAAAAAATTTAGTGTAACAGCTTGAGCAACTTATATAAATTATTTTGATAGTGCAACAAAATTATTTTCAAATCTATATTTATAGCTAAATTTTTAGATTTGTCAACAAAACTGTTTTTTCCGTGTATAATATATTTTCTCATATGTAAATTAGTCTCTATCGGGTTGTGAAACCTGTAGCTTAAGCGTATCGTTTCGCAACCATATTAATATTATCGAAAATGACGTTAATGAGACGCTGGAGGAGTTTCATTCTCACGTTTCGAGTGAAATATCCCTACGTTGTCACTTTTGCTGGAATCTTCGTGTATCGTCGTACACGCAAATAGCCCGACAGCTCCCAAAATTGCACGATCGTCGGAGAAGAAGTCCTCCTTCTAGCGTCTAAAGTTAGAACGAGGAAGAAGCAAGAGAGGACCAGTGAAGCATCAAGGGGGCTAAGACGCAGTTGCCGGACGTGAAAAATATCGCTTGAGAGATCGCGTGAAACTTTTAAAGACAGCAGTGTGGAGAAAGCATCAATTTTTTTCCGCAAACAACCGAATGGATAATACCATATAGCGTGAGTTCCTACAAAGATTTGTTTTTGAAGTAATTAATCCACAATTATTTCGTTTCCGTATTATAAAAGCAGTGCTCATATATCAAACATTTCCATTATGCAATGATTATACAAATGTTTTATAACTTTTATAAATAACTTTGTCTATTTATATATTTTTTAACGCGAATATATTATTTCATACAAAGAAGTTATATTATATATATTATTGTTTTGCAATTATATTAGAATGTTGTAATTAATATACATGTCTACTTTCAAATAAAAATCAAAGAGATTAAGGTTATTCCGAAAAGATAATTTGAGTTTACTGACTGACTCTCTCCCTCTTTCTTTCTGTTTCAACCAATTAAATTCTGACTGAAATGCGCCGCTTAAGACATCACGGGTTCGGTTATTCTTAGTTCATTTGCTGAGATAGCCACAATGTGTTTCGACAGAGATACGTGTCGGGTCTCCGGCTCTAATCAAGAACGTCAATCGGGCGTTTTCCAGGAAGTGGTAGCGCGAAGATAACAAAAGACGAAAGCTCGTTTATTCACCTTCATGCACGCTGCCGGCGCGCCGATGTCGACGATGGTGCACACGATTATGGACGACACGGCCACCGGTAAACTTGTTCGGATCGAGGATATTCTCGACGGAGAATGCGAGGCACCGCTTGTTGTTGGTCTGCACCGTGCTGGTGGCGGTCGTGGTAATGCTACCTGTCGACGTGCCGGTGGTAGTGCGCGCCACGCCACCGGAAGTACACACCGTCATGACGGCGGAGCCGGTAGCGCCGTGCCCGGATATATACACTGGTGTCCCGTGACCGGCGGGCCCGTGGCCACCACTTTGTACACAGGTAAACGAATGTACGCGGTTGGCGAACGGATGAACAAATTGCTCGGACGCGACACCCCTCGACGAGGGCGCCGTGAGATCCACCGGGCTACTTGGATTACTCTCGTCAGCATCCTCCCGGCACACGTCGACTTCGACGTCTCCGTCCTCGTGGTAGCCGCCGTTTCGATGTCCTTCGGGCTGGCTCTCTTCCTCCTCCTCTTCTTCCTGCTCCTCGTCATCTTCTTCGTCGACAACAACGTTCCTTCTGCCCGATGCGTTCCGCTCGTCTTCAGCCTCATCCTCTTCCTCCTCATCCTGCTCTTCCTCCTCTTCGTCGTTAGACCTTTTCTCCCTGATGTGCGAATCTGTCTCATGGTACTGATCTTTCTCGACGGCAGTGACGGATCGTAGGATCGGTGGACTCGACGGTGACTGTTGTTGTTGCCGTACGTTGTCGTATCTCGCAAATGATTCGCCGGTGCGTACGAGTAATACGGGTCTCCTTTCCTGCGGCGGCAGCGATAGACCGGCACGCATATCGGCTTCCTCTCGTTGCAGGACGACCGGTCCTAAAGGTGACACGGTCCTGCTTTCCTGCATCCTCCACATTACCCGCTAGTAAAAAGACGATCTTCCTTTATCTAGTTTCGCGTCGTTTCATCTTTGCCTCCGAAAATTATAACAGTCACAGTCGTGGAACCGTTTGTTAATTCCTCTGATCAGCAAACTTCACTTTTAGCAAACCAAAATACTGATCGGTCACGTCAACGCAAATCCATTGTACTTGTATGCATTGCATTCACACTTTTCTTCCTCGAACGTCACTGATCCCGATCACGGTCAGGAATCTCGGCACTAATTTGTTAGAATCGTCGTAGCAAGTTGAAACAATGAACGAACGCGAGAGAGATTTGATCGAATTAGAGATCGATTATAACACTTTCCGAAGGTAAACGTGGCGAGTCTTGGCGTCGATACTTGGCGACGTACGTCAGGTAAATGGTAGATTTAGGATATCCTTCGCCGCATGGGCGAAGTGTGCGATTAGCAACGTCTTTGGTAGGTCGACGCGGCGCGCGTACCGTGGCAGTTACTCTCGAGAGTCCCGCGTAGAGCCATGGTGGCAGAATTGGTGGTATATCGGCGTATTATTAGCGCCGAGGAGCGAAGAGCGGTGGCACCGTGGCCCGTGGAACGGCCAAGTGGAACGGCGAAAGCGGGGGTTTGTTCCGCCTCGACAGGGCGTGGTTAACCCCGCTCGTACTACTCGAAAAGCTACCGTCAGCCGCCAATGGGCGTGCCGGACGGTATTCCGATTCCGCTAGGGGTTGCGCGCACACACGTGCTTTAACACGCTCGTAACCGAGAATCGCACCGCGAAGGCCGGCGTGCCTCTGTATTGGTCGCGTGCGCATCGTTGCACACACTTACACGTACAACACGCATACATCAAAATGGTTAATGTACATGAGCGCGTCGCAGCGCTGAATGGACGAGTCGCGTGCAGACGTCTCGCGGTGAGCTTTCGTCAGATACTCGGCTGTGTACACACAGGTACCACTTCTATCATCCTCTCGTTCCCTTCTCGTTTTCGCGTCTCTCCGCCCCCTTTCCGCGATCGGACTGGCTCTCTCTCTCTCTAAAGTGGTTTGTCTTTGATTTAACCACCACAGCGCGACTCCGTCGAGCGGCGCCGATGAAGGAACACCTTTTCCGTACCCTCCGTACCCAGGCGAGCGGCGTCGCGTCGGGGCATCATTCGTTGCGCTTGGAAAGGAAGGAAGGCAAAACGTGTGGAGGAATTGCGTGCTCGCCGCGTGCATTACGCGTTCGCAAAACGCTCGGTGGGTTTGGCGATGATCGTCGGTGTGTTGTCGGCGGTGGGGGCGGCGCATCGCGGCCTCTTCAACGCTTGTGTATAGCGATCTCTCTCTGTGTATAGGGTGGAGAGTATAATCGTGGTACACGGAGCGCAGGTATCTCCCTCTCTCTCCCTCTCTCTCTTCCATCCTTTTACGCGGGGAGCGGGTCGTGGATGGTACTAGCGATTAAATCAGGACCAACACACAACGACCAAACGACCGACCGACCGACCGACGAACGGACGGACTGATGTCTGATGTGAGAGCTTGGTGCTGCTACCGCTCTGCTCTTAACTCGGCGCACGGATATTGTTTACCCGACCATTTAGGTAATTGCTGGCCTACCGCCCTGCCAGCCAATCGAACGTAACCAGCGGATGTGTCTGCAATACCGATCTCCCTCTCTCGCTTCGTCAATTCTGTCGCTCTCGTGATCTTCAGCTCTTCTTGTTTCTCTCTAATTTCTTCTCTCTCTCTCTCTCTCTCTCTCTCCCTCTCTCTTCTACCATCGTTTGCTCTGCGGTGTCACCCCGTCGATCACTCGATCATCATCGAATTAGCTCGGGACCGATTGTTCGATGAAACTAACGCTGTTATTGTCACGGTGATCGATTCTTTCCAGGAAATTGGCGAGATTGGAAAGATACATACGCTTTACCAAAAGATTGTGGCAGTGGAGCGTTTTGACAGTTTTAATGATTGCCGTTGTATTGTTCCGGTGCTGTATTCGGTGATAAATGGTCGACCAATATAATGTAGCGAGCTCTAAGCGTTTCATGCGCGACCACACTTTGTTCGCGCGACATTGAAAATGCGACTGAGCATGGAATAGTTTTATAGATGGTCCATACGTAGCACACACGTTTGTGAACGCGAATATTCCGTTTTACAAAATTATGACTACGACGGTGATCACGTTGAATGACAAATTGGATTAAGCGTGCCTCGACTAATTCTCAATTGTACCGTCTCATTATTTGGTTAGCGCTCGAGTGAAGTAACGGCGCGGTAGTTGAGCCGCGCGAGAAGGTATCGTGGTGTTATCATGTTCAGCGAAAACTAATTATCGCGGGTGCCGTAGTTAATGCGATAATAGACCTTTTATTCATCAAGTCTAACCATTTTGTTAACCGCATACATTATATACATATCACGGCTTGTATCGCGCATACGGGCACTCCAGAAGTGCCGCTATTCTTTTCATTTATATATATTCTCCGAGCATATTTGAAGTATAATTTTTCTTTTTAAGAAAATTTTGATCGTCTCTTTCTCAGTGCTTTAATATTAAATATTTTCATAGATTATTCTCTAATGATTCCATTAAAGTAAAATTTAAAGAGTCGCTGCTTTTCTCATTTGCGCGCTTGAAGCATTATTCGTCCGAGCGTATTAACTTGTCAAGCTATTCACTGGTGGCTCCGAATTAATGGAAAAATACGCTGTTGAAAAAACCGGAGACAATTTTGGAACGCCCTTTGCGTTCTCGGCTTCAGAAAAAGGTAGAAATACGCTCTTCTCTCATTCCATCTTGTCACATAAACGGACGAACGTAATTATTCACCGCACGTCTCTGTCTACAAAAATATCGCTTTCACAACGTCGTCGGTTCTTGAAAACGTCATTCTAAACTTAATGTCAATTATCCGCGGACAAATGAGCGCGGTTTCACTCGCGTCACTTAGGGCCGATTTAGTCAACGTCGGTCGCGACACTAATCTTTGTTTGCAATATGTCCCTTTTCCTCAAGCTGTAGCCAGTCATAATTTGTACTAATTATCATTACAGAATAACGATTGAGAAAAATATCTAACGAGTCACAATTAACGCCAAAATAAATGAGCTTTATTTTTCCTAATCTTTACGATAAAAATATTGTAGATTTTTACAAAAGTTTCATGTACCTTCTGTGTTCCATGGACATTTTGCGAATCAATATTTTAATTACCGCAAGAGATAAAAAATTAATGTACCTACTTGGTAAGCGTCACATACGATGGATCGAGGTCATTTACGGTACATTCCGTATGCATGCACTGTTTGCTACCCGATTTGTAGTATGCTAAAACTTAATTAATAATTCAGGACGTTAATGTAACGTACATCAATGCACGCCATTCAGATATTCTAAGCGCGTTGCTCGTCTCCGAGAAACGATTAAATGCAATAATGTATAAAAAAAACCGTTCCCCGAATAATCTCGCGTATTGATTATCCGCCCTTGACGAGGATCGTAGCGCGAGCCTATTGTTGATCATTGAGCGTGCTGGAGCGCATCCCTCGTGTCATTATGGCTCAGGTGAACACCGGAGCCGGTGGATTACTCCACCTGCCAAAGTGATGTGGGTTTAGGCGGGGATCCCTAATAGTTCCGAAACGGTACGCGAGTCGGGAGGTTAGCTAGTTGGCGAGATAGACACGGAGCACGACGGCAGGATGCAACGGTGAGAGGGGTTGATAGAGCGATCGAGCGGCCAAGCGGGGTGAGGAATGAGGAGGAGGTTGGCGGGGCGCTCGGCATGGCACAGAGATCGGACAGACCAGCCGTGACCAATTTGCGCCCGTTCGTGCTCCCGATTCTGATCCCGATTCTATCCGCCGCACACGAATACACGCGTATACAGGTACCGTTCGCACACGTACATATCGATGTACGACCCCCTCGATCTTCCCTTCTCGATGCCCATGCACCCCCTGTCCCTTCCCTTCCCTTCCACCCACTCTTCCCACTCTTCCCCGCCCCCTCTCCCTGATGGATCCCCCGATCCGCGCGAGCGTTGGCACCCTCCTGCCAAGAGATATTCGTCACAGAAAGTCGCGTTGTGTCGCTCGGTGAGCAGGCCACCCCAAAAGTTTCACGCCTATCTGGACCGGCGGCACCATCTATTCGCGCCACGATAATTGGCCAATTAAAACCGGGCGAGAGCGTTCGAGTTACCTGCCATCCGATAATTATACGGTGTCCTCGCGGCGGTTCGACCACGTATCCACGCGACTGGGTGGTGGAGACGAATAGCGGTGGAAAGAGAGAGAGAGAGAGAGGAAGAAAGAGAAACGGGGGTTGGAGAACAGGAGTGGGACTGAAATCGCAGGATGGACGTGGGAGGAAAGGTTCCTCCGGAGGGCCGAAAGGTGGAGGACGAAATCGACTATTCCGATCACGTGGCTTCGGATTCTACAACTACGGTGGTCCTCCTCCTCTCTCTCTCTCTCTCTCTCTCTCTCTCTCTCTCTCTCTCTCTCTCTCTCTCTTTCTCTCTAGCCTTCCTCTCTGCGATGCCACCCCGCTCCCGCTTCCGTCTCGCAACCCCGTGCCACAACCTCCGCGACTCTCCGCTCGTTCTCTCGCTTACCATCCTCCTCGGCGTAAATCAATGCGGACAGCACGCCCTTTCCTTAACCCCGCGACGCATGACTGGAGTACTCCTTAGTGCCACGTTTAGTCGCGATGGACGACGTTTACCGAGATATTCCGATTAACTGCAGCGTCAACAATGACGGACATTAGCGACGGATTTCGGAAAAGCCATTGTACCGTGAAATATATTCAATTCTTCGTATTAATATTACAAATAAAAAAGTAACACACGCAAGTTTGATTATTGTATTTTATAACTTTGACACTTGCCTAATGAAGGGTAAATCGATTCATTGATATCACCTAAAGTATCAAACATAATTTCTCAGTAATAAAATTGTTAGAATATTAATTATATGCTAAAGATATTTAATTATTGCAATGATGTT